CCCTCCCTTGCTACTGTGTGCAGCCTAGTTCGGAGATTCCCGGGATTGGCTCCTGGGCCACGGCAGCATCACCTGGTTTGTAACCTGTCCTGGTACAGACACCCAGAAAGCCTCCTATGTGGGGCGTTTCCTCTCTCACGGACATGATTCTGCCGCGGACTGTAAATTGAGACGTTATGTAAGCAGTGTATCTTGGAATGCCGAGGCTTTTTTGAAATTCCATTCATTAATGGGCTTTTAATTGAAGGAATATGTATTTATGGAAGCAAGATACTCTGTAGGTTATAACTGTAGTGGGTTTGTCACTGGAGAATCAGGGCTGCGTGCACAATAGGGGAAATCTTCCCATTTCCCTCTCCCTTTCTATATGTATATGTGTGAAAGAAAAAAATAGAGATTGAGAGTGTATATGCGCATCCAGGTGTGCAAAATCATTCGGTCCAGGGCACTTTACAAGCGAAAAAACAGAATCAAAATCAAATATATTGTTGAAGGCTTTCATGGCCAGAATCACTGGGTTGTTGTAGGTTTTTTCGGGCTGTATGGCCATGGTCTAGAGGCATTCTCTCCTGAGACGTTTCGTTTGGAAGCTTCTAAACAGAGGCTGGATGGCCATCTGTCAGGGGTGATTTGAATGCAATATTCCTGCTTCTTGGCAGGGGGTTGGACTGGATGGCCCATGAGGTCTCTTCCAACTCTTTGATTCTATGATTCTAAGCATCCTCAGAGGTAGTGAGGTCACACCGTTTACAGAAAACCCACACACACAGATAGATATCTACATAAAAACTCCAACCATCACCCAAGTCAAAAAAGAAGCACCATTAAAGCCTTGACAGACCATGCAAAAAGAATCTGCGAAGCCCACCTCCTCCAAGATGAACTGAACCACCTCAACTGGGCTCTCCAGGCCAATGGAGACTCCACCTCAAACATCAGAAGAGCTGCAAGACAACCAAGAACAAGCCACGAGAGTCAAGACCAAGATCCATCCAGAGGAAAAGTGTTCTTGCCATACATCAAGGGAACCACTGACCGCATAAGGAAGCTGATGAGGAAACACAACATACAAACTATCTACAGACCCACCAAGAAAATCCAACAAATGCTACGTTCAGCAAAGGACAAGAGGGATCCTCTCACCTCTGCAGGAGTCTACCGTGTACCATGCAGCTGTGGACAAGTCTACATAGGGACCACCAAACGCAGCAGCATTGCCCAGACACGAATCAAGGAACATGAAAGGCACTGCAGACTACTTCAACCAGAGAAGTCAGCCATAGCAGAGCACCTGATGAACCAACCTGGACACAACATTTTATTTGAGAACACAGAAATGCTGGACCACTCTAACAACCACCATGTCAGACTACACAGAGAAGCCATTGAAATCCACAAGCATGTGGACAATTTCAACAGAAAGGAGGAAACCATGAAAATGAACAAAATCTGGCTACCAGTATTAAAAAAAACTCTAAAATTAGAACAGCACAACAACAGAGAGGAAGTAGGCAGGGACATCTAATTACTCTCAACAAAAGTTTGCTCCAGGCACGGTCAGGCCATTGTGTGCTAATCAAGGTGGTCAGTTGAAACATTCACACCTAGCTCCAGCAGACAAGAGTCCTTTGTCTCACCCTGGTCATTCCACAGATATATAAACCCTTTTTCCTAGTTCCAACAGACCTCACTACCTCTGAGGATGCTTGCCATAGATGCAGGTGAAATGTCAGGAGAGAATGCCTCTAGACCATGGCCATACAGCCCGAAAAAACCTACAACAATCCAAAATCAAATATAATCACAGCCCAATCAGCCCCATTCAGAACAACTCCATTAATTAATGTTGTATTAATTAATGCTAGTTGATTAATGCAGGACAAAGTGCTGAAATATACATGTAAGATAAAAAATAAGTACAGAAGACATTAAACAAAGTTATTCTCAAGCTCATGTAAAAACCCTGCAAGTACAGGCAAATTTCTGACATAAATCAAATTCATACTTGGCAATTTGTGGTGATTTTATCTCGCTCTGATTTTTTTTGCAGCCCAAGCAAAAAGGGCCACTTTATAGATTACATCATTCTTGGAGCCACTCAGGAGGAACTGAACCACTTCTACAAGAGAGTTCTCATTTTCCTTCATCAGCAGGGGTTTCGGAAATCTTCCTCTGGGGTCACTGTACAGGGGACATTCAGCATCTACTATTATTTTAGCACTTAATGCACAATGTCTTCTATTGGACATTGACTACACATTTCCAATTGTGCCTCGTTATAGTGTGCTTCAGGCACAATACTGTTGATATGCTGCTTTTGAGTTTTTAGGAATCTTGCAAGTGTCTGTTAAAGGAGGCTGAAGGCCATCAAATAACTGCAACATGAAAGATCCTTCATGGTTCTTGGTGCATAATGTAGGAGCTTCTCTCTCCCATTGGAATTTGTTTACTATTGCTGCCGGCCCCAAATATTTTTGGGTTTAATGTGTATGGATTTGATTATTCATGGATTTGATTAATATAGCTAATATTCCGGTGTATAGTGCAGACTTGATGTTGCCCATCTCTTACCCTTGTCTCTTGAATGCAAAACCACTCACTCTGTTCTGTCGCGCACTGGGCCTGTAACAGCTGTACTTTTCTATAGGACGTATGCTTTAAGCCCAGCGGGAAGCCAGGGGCGCCTCAAAGAGAGGTTCTCAGGGATTTTTCTGAAGTGATGGTCTTTAGAGTCTTTAATGATACAACAAAGTCTTTGTTATGGCAAACAACAAATCTTCAATGGTTCAAACAACACTTTAAGGCTTTCTTAGTCTAGTCTTCAATGGACTGGCACCTGACTTTGATCAACTGAACCTTCTCTGTAGGAAAACCCCCTTTTAACCTCTCCCAGGCTGCTTTTTATCTATGCCTCATCAGTGTGGGTGCTACTACCAAATCCAAGTGCGTCTGGGTATCGAGCAGACCTACCGGCTGAGGCTTGAAGATATTTCAGCTGGAATTTCTGGATTTCAGTTTCCCTGGAGGTTAATTTCCCTGGATGATCAGTTTCCCTGGATGGTTAATTTCCCTGGATGATCAGTTTCCCTGGATGGTCCTTTTTCCCTGGATACTCTTAAGAAAGGAAGCTTTTCTATGGGACAAGCTAGTCTACATCCTATAGCTTAGCTACCTTGTGTGAGACTGCCAAAAATGGCTCCTTTTCCTCCCAGAGTCCAGAACAAGGGGAGGAACCAAAGCTTAATTATGATGGACAGGAGGCCTGCCCTATGACTGCAAAATAGATAACAGAGAGAAAATAAAGTTGGAGCTCCTGGTACAGCCGTACCAGCACACACGCGGTTCCCCAAGTACTCCTTTATGCCATTTAGTACTCTAAATACTTTAAAGATTTCAATCTTCACTTATTTTGTCCTTGAATTTTGTACTTTCAACTCTTTTCTGCCTTATGCATGAAATTGTGAGAGTTTCTGCACATTTCTTGTACTTTATGATTTTTTTTGGAAAAATATATTTCTGGAAAACCCTTCATTTTTGCACTGAAAACAGTGTATTTGTGGATGAGAGGTGGAGGACACCAACCCAGTTTTCTGATCAGGCCCCTGTGTTTTTAGCTTTTTTTTGCAAAAAAATAATATTTTTCTCCCTTGCGTATCTTGCTATTAAAAATACTTTCTTCCTTGAGGATGAAAAATATGACTATCCTTCATATCCCTAATTTACACCAGTCCTAAATATACGGTGGTTAATGTGAACCAGGGCTTCTATCATAACTAGAAAGTGTGACAATATTTGGAGAGTGGGGAATCTTGTTTGCATTATCCACAGATTGTTAAAAAAAACAAAACACTAAACCTTTTAAGGCTGGCAGAGAAAGGGAGGGATGGACTCATTTCAGTAGAGGAAAGCATCTAGACCAGTGGTTCCCAACCTTTGGCCCTTCATCTCCCAGAAATCCCAGCCATCTTATGAGCTGTTAAAAATGGTGGGAGCTGAAGTCCAGAACACCTGGAGGACCAAAGGTTTCGAACCACAGCTCTAGACCAAGAACAGGTAAGTGTGGATCTTAGCCAACTTTGTAGGAAGTGACTTGTATCACCAAGTTTCAATATAGGACGGTTTTCAGTGCACCCCCATTATTTTTTATTTTGGAGCCATATGAAAGTTTGGATGGGTGCAAAACTTCCATTTTCAGCATTAGTGAGCTGGTTGGGGGTGATGAAACAATTACATGTTTTTTTTTAATTGGGGTCAGAGCTTCAAGGACTACATTTTGGGACTACCTTGATCTGAACCCACCATCACTTAGCTATCTTTGAGTAAGAGATAAACGACTAAACAACTCTGGCCCAGTTTACCTGTCCGAACGGATTCTCCCCTATGAACCATCAAGGTTGTTAAGATCTTCTGGAGGGGCCCTGCTCTCGGTCCCACCACCCTTGCAATCGCGTCTGGTGGGGACGAGGGACAGGGCCTTCTCGGTGGTGGCCCCTCGGCTCTGGAACTCTCTCCCACTGGAGATTAGAACTGCCCCTTCTCTCCTGACTTTTAGAAAACTGGTGAAAACTTGGCTCTGGAATTTGGCATTTGATGAGTGAGTCAATAACTCCTGACCACACAGACGGATAGCGATGAATTGTGACTTCATTCTGACGACTTGGCCTTATGTAATTGTATGATTGTATTTTAATGTGTTAGTGTATTATGAGATGTGATGTTTTAAACTTTTGTTTATGAATCTTTTGTTGTGAACCAGACTGTGTCCCTCTGCGGAGGTCGAGAAGCATTACCTACTAAGCACTGATAGACTATTCTTCCTTCATGATTTTGCCTCTTTAATATTGTTGTTAGCAGACTCTGGATCGTGACAGAACAAAAGAGTTGTCTTGGGAAACAAATTGTCATGCATTCTCTGGTTGCTTGTTTTCCCTTTGTTTGTCTTTTTGCTCTTTGCATGTCAGGCAAGTAAGTTTTCCTTTTTTCCTTCCCCTCTTTGATAGAGAAGAATGCATCTTCACCATTGACCCCTCAACAGCCAAGGACCTTGATGATGCTTTGTCTTGCAAGCCGCTTCCAGATGGTATGATATACTTCCTGTGTTGTTTTAGTGTGTGTGTCTGATTTTAAAAATACTTTTACCTTGGTTTCTTTAAAACTGTAATCATCAAGGAGATCAGTATCTCTGAGTTGCTGCACAAAACCTCATGTTTATTCCCTGACACTCCTGTCAATGCGACTGAGGTAGCACAGCTGGGAAGTTGGGAGATGTTGCTGGGCTGCATCTCCCCAAATTCCTCACCATTAGATGTTCTAGCAAGGACGGATGAGAATTCAAGTCCAGGGACAGCCAGAAAGCTACATAATCCCTAAGGCCTGGGCAGGATTGAATAATAAACTTCTAAGAAATATGCATATTTAAATTGTTTTAAAATTGTGTTTGATTTTAGCCTGTTCTTGTAAGCCACTCCGAGCCCCAGGGGAGTGGCGGCATATAAGTTCGAATAATAAATATATAAATAAAAATATATATGTACAGTCAGGTTTATTAACAGAAGATCCTCCTCATAAATGTACAGCAGAGTAACTTATTATCAGCAGTGTGACCCAGCACCAGTCGCCCACAATGATAAAAAGAACAAAAATACACAGACCAACGTTATCTCTTCCTTTGGAGGCTTTTCTTTGTCGCAAAATAATATGGTTGAACTATTTACAACAACAAAGTGTCCATAACACAAATAAAATTCTTAGTCCCTCTACGGAGGTAGTGAAGATAGGATTATAAAAGTTTTAAATAAATAAATACTTCCGTCTTTGCTTCCACACTGGGCTTCTTTCTTATGCAGATAAAGAGCTCATAGCTTTACCCTCACAGAGGTTGCTTTCACATCGAACTTACACAGGAGTTTAACACAGTAGCTTCACAAACAAGGCCTTCAACCCGGAGCTTCTCTCACAAGGCTTTCCTTACACTGAGGCGTTCTCTCACACTAAGGCCTTCCTCACACTGTGAGGCCTTCTCACAGACCGAAACCTTCCTCCCATTGAGGTTTACCTCAGACTAGCAGCTACTAAGCTACAAGCACACCTGCTTATATTGAACTGCAGCTTTTGCTGAGTCGTTGCATCCATTTAACCCTTTCACATTTTTGTATAAAAATACATAGTTAATTTTTAATATTTCTGACAAGGCCTCCATCTTTTTTGAGTTGTAATTTTCGTGGATTTGATTATTTGCAGGTTTTATTAATATGTTCTTTCCTAAGAATTTCTAGAGCAGGCATGGACCAACTTGGGCCCTCCAGGTGTTTTGGACTTCAACTTCCACAATTCCTAACAGCCTGTTGGCTGTTAGGAATTGTGGGAGTTGAAGTTCAAAACATCTGGAGGGCCCAAGTTGGCCCATGCCTTCTCTAGAACTTATGGCTGGAAGCCAGTCATAGAGTCAAGCTGAAGGACCTCAAAATTAGTAGAGAGAACACATCTCTAACAATCTCTCAGTCCTCCAGGGTGATTTTGTGGTTAATTTTCAGAGAAGGACCTAGAGATACCAACAGAGGTGTTATTCCCAGTTTTTTTAAAAATAGCATTTTTAAAATTTGTGGTTTTACTACTTTCTTGGGGGCTCTAGCTTCTCTAAACCCCACAATAGTGGAGGGCTTGTTGCACATCAATTGTCTCCTACCATACTAAAATAGTTCCTTCTAGCTATGTAATGGGTCATGGCTCAAGGGCAGGAAAAAACACTTTGTGTGGCAAAGGGCTCATGCTCAGTCCTCACCATGTGGTTGGGAAAGACCTTCTGCCTCAGCCCTGGACGAGCTGCTGCTGCTAGTCAGCAGAGGCAGCATTAAGTGAGAGAGCCCAGTGGTCTTGACTTGACATGGGGCTGACTCCAATGGAAATGCCTGTGCTCTGGGCTAAATTCCACCCAACCATTGCCCGAATCTCAGTAAAGCAGCTGGAAAGAAAGCTCTCCTCTTTTTTTCCATTGCTGAGTCACTTTCCAGTGATGGGAACTCCTTGAAATGAGGTAAACGTTGACTTTTTGGGCAATAAACTAAAATGGGAGCCCATCATTTTGTCCGCCACCTCTGCATTGTTTCGAGGTCTTAACGAAGGTGCTTGCCCTTTCTTCTCGTAAAGATGGCATGGCCACAGAGTATGTCAGAGGAGAGCTTTCCTTGGACCAAATGAGGATGGAAGAACTGAGGCAGTGATGCTGCCTGGACCAGGCCTTCGATGCTCCAGACCCAGGCTGCCCTGGTTACGTTAAGTTGTTTGGCACAGAAATCCAGCCAAGGATGAGATAGGATGCCCATAGTTTCATTCTTAGCCCTTCCCCTACAAACCTGATAAAGGGCTGGGGGAAGGTTATAGAGTTGAGGAATTAATGTCCTGCATTTTAAATCTTCCCTTTGTGAGTTTCAAAAGGAAGAAAAGCTTGAAGTATGGAAGGAAGGAAAGGAAGGAAAGCTTGGACCAAATGTTGGAAAGGCCCTGTTTCAGCTTCACTGAGAAGGAACAGGGATGGTGGCGCACTATAGCATTTTGTCCAAGGGTTCAGTTGCATATGTTTCTTGTGGATAGTGCCATTAGAGAGTGAGCAGGGACAATGTGTACATTTTTTAGTAGCTTTTTAAAAAGATCCTTCTCATGTGTGGTTTTAAGCATGCATTGTAATGCATTTTTTGTTTTGTTTTTGCCTTTTAAGTCTCTTCTGCTGCGTTTTTCAGTGTTTTATGAGTGATGGTCACTCGTTGGTCTGATAGGTGTCTTATGTCCAAGTTTGGTGTCAATTCATCCAGTGGTTTTTGAGTTCTGTTAATCCCACAAACGAACATTACATTTTTATTTATATAGATAATACTATATTATTATTATTATTATTATTATTATTATTATTATTATTATTATTATTATATTGCATTACATTATTGTTGTTGTTGTTGTTGTTGTTGTTGTTGTTGTTGTTATCACCTGAAGATTTAGAAGGTTTTATTAAGATTTGTTCAAAAAACATAAATGGGAAAACTGAATTCAGTGAGAATGAGGGAAGATTGTAGGAGAGAGAAAAATGAAGCAATGAAGGCTGGCATTTACTTGGGAGAGGTCTGGGCAGCCAAGTACCAGTTCATCATCTTGATCAGTATTGTTTCCACTAGGCTTGGGATCCTGTGGCCCTCCAGATGTTTCTGAATGCCATGTCCTAACATTCTCCATTATTCACTATGCAAGTTGGGGATGCTGGGAGTTGGCCAAAGGACATTTGGAGGACCACATGGTTCCCACCCCTCGTCTATACTAAGCACCAGTGGCTCTCTGGGGTTCTAGCAGAAGTCCTTCTCGGTGCTGCCTGCATCGTTATTTATTGAATGTACAGTAGAGTCTTGCTTATCCAACATAAACAGGCCTGCAGAATGTTGGATAAACGAAAATGTTGGATAATATGGAATCTCCTACTGTTACCCGTCCAACATGGCACTAGTCACTTAGAATATTAACAACAGGGACTTGGAGGATTAAGGCAAGGCAACACCCCAGAACTAGAAAGTGCCCGGATGCAGAAGAGGAGCATGGAAATCACAGAGGGAAGGAGAAAGGACCCTTCTGCTTCCAGTCCTGCCTCTTTTCTCCCATTCCTCCTTCCTCCTCCTCCTCCTCCTCCTCTTCCTCCTCCTCTTGCCTTTTTCACTTATTGGGAAGGGAGAGAGAGTTGGGGAGTGCTCCTTTAATTGAAGGGGAAATGCTGGAGGAAAAGGGGGGCTTTGGATAAGAGCGTCGGATAAGACAGAATGTCGGATAAGCGAAGGTCGGATAAGCAAGACTCCATTGTATATCCCGTCTTTTCTCCCAAGGTGGGACTCAAGGCAGCTTACAACAATTGAAAAGTGTATTTTTTATCGAAATGAACTTGTGGCTTTTTGCACAAAAAGCATGTGCCCTTCTATTGAGTGAGCCCACCCTATGAAGATTCATATAAAAAGGGAATGTTAATGCACAGCACAAATGCTGGAATAAAGGCATCTCTGAATTCTGTGATTTGGTAATGTCGACTGAAATAGTATATTCGTTACCAGAGGGGTATACATTATAATCACTGATGTCAGAAAAGAGTGCAACCATGATGTGGATGAAATTGAATCTGGAGGGTGCGGAGGACTCACAGATGCATCACTGGCTCTGTTTGGCTTCCTCAACTTGGGATCTGATGGTGGAGTCAATGGTCAGCTCAGTGGCACCTTGTTCTGGAAACCGGCCTGTGTTTTGTCACTAGGAAAGGAGTGGTGACAGGACATTATGAAGATCAAAAACAGGTCCCCACATCTACGTAGTTAGGAATCTCTCCTAAACGGCAGACAAATTTCTGCACCTTCCTGAATTACGCTTGCTGCTTTGTATGGCTGTGGCGGCAGGATATTTCTGACATGATTAATTTAAAATGCAGGATGTGGGTGTATTTTTGCATTTCACTTTCTGTTTGTCAAAACTTGATTAGGTCATATCTGAGTAAAATTGCAGAGCGCGAGGTTAATTGGATTGACGGAGCCATCTACCCACGCTGTTGCTGTACACGTATTCATTCATTTCGAGAATACATTTAAGCTGCGAGAGACCAATCTGCCCCCAGATTTCTTGCCAGTCCTGGAAATTCAGTAGAAAGTGGGGGCTCGAAAACCACTGGAGAAAATGTGTGCAAAGAACAGCAAAAGTGTTTGACGAAGGCAGCTAAAACACCACAAAATAGTAATGAAAGCTGACAAGGGCCCAAGATGTACATATTAGTGCCCTAAATAATTTTTGTTCTTCTTTGTCTTATGGAATGAGATACCTTCAAGAAACCCTCCTGAGTTCTTACAAAGTCAAGGCAACTGTGGTTCCCTTGATTGAGACCATCTACCTGTACTTCAGATTTCTCCTTTTCCCATTGCCTTCTTCTTTTCCAAGCATTATGTTTTCCAGTGAATCATGTCCTCAAATGAGTAGAATCATAGCGTTGGAAGAGATCCCCAGAGCAATCCAGTCCAATCTCATTCTGGCATACAGCAACACATAATCAACCCCCCCCCCCCCACCCTA